CCCACCCTGGCCTTGGGGTCCGAGGTAGGCCGGGCCTGGGTGGAGAGCGTGCCCAGCGGCCCTGGCGTTGGTTGATGCTGCCTCTCCTGCCCAGGCTGCCCAGTGCTTCATTCCCACCGCAGTGCCCTTGCAGCTGCGATTCCCTCTGTGAGGACGCCCTTCCTCACATCCTCCCGGCCTGCTGTCTGCTGCCTGGCAGTCTTTGCTTAGCTAGGCCTGACCCAGGGAAAGCCTTTCTGGGCCCTCCTGTTGAGATTCGAGTCACTGTAACCCCTTCCCCAGCACTTTGTCTTCTCTCCCTGGTTTCATTTTTTCTCCTTTGCTCTTCTTACTATCAAGTCTTACTAGTTCCACGCTCTGCTCATTCCACCTGAATATACATTCTGTGCAAGAAGGAATGTCTGTTTTAGTCAGGGCTGTATTGGTGCCTGGTATGCACATGGTACACATGCAGTAAGGGTGAAAGAACAATGAATGAATGAAACCACGAGTACGTGAACGATGGGTGAGTGCCTGGGACTTCACGCAAGTTTCTTGGTGCTCAGCCTCTGTTTCCTGGTGGGTAATACGGCGATCATATCTACCTTCCTGTGGGGAAATGGGCATCTTACGTACATTCCTCATGGGAATATAAAGTGCTGTATCTTACATGGGAGGTAATTTTGCAATTTCTGTGAAGGTTATAAATGTATATTTGATCCAGCTGTTCCACTGGGAATGTATCCTGCAGGTCTATTCATACATGTGGAAACTGCCATTTGTACAAGGTTATTCATTGCTGCATAAATGAATGTCCATTGTATGATGGACATAATATGTAATGTCCGTCAGTGGGGACTTACCAGATAAACAATAGCATATGCGTGGAATTGAATACTCTGCAGTGTTAGCAAAGAATGAGAAGGTGGTCTTTGTGCTAGTCCAGGCAGACGTACAAGGGGTTACTCGAGGAGGAAGCAGAGGTGCAAACAGGGCACACTCCCTCTTCGGTGCGCAAAAACAGGAGGGTGGATGAATCTGTATCCGAATTGCCTTGTCTGTACACAGACACGGTGGAGAGACAAACAAGAAGCTGGTGACAGTGACTCGGGGGACAAGGGATCTGGAACAAAGATGGGGACATGGGTGAAGGCTTTCTGCTGTATGCTTTTATATGAACTAGGAATGTATCACTATGTAAAAAAAACAAAAGCTTATGTTGCAGGGTGATTCTGAGGATTAAAGAGCATGTGTGCAGAGCCTTTTGCCTAGTGCCTGAAACCAGTGGTGTGGAACGAGAGAGGAACCCTTTCCACGGCAGAGTTGGAGTCATGGTCCTGTCCTTTATTTTGGTTTGCAGTTGCTTAAACTTGTGTGCCCAAGGGTGTGACTGCAGTGTCTGCCTAGGTGCCCTGTGGGGACACAGCAGCTGGCTGGGCTCAGGTTCCCATCCACAAGTTACTCCCACGTGTATACTTATAGTTTCTGTGCACCATCTGACTGTGGGATAAAGTCTTTAAATGTGTTTTGCCACCCAGTAATATTTATTTTAATAACGGTGCTATGGTTATTCATCTTCATACCTCACAGTTGTAGAGCAGTACTATTTTTACTTGACAATATTACAATTTTTAATTCTTTAGGAATTATTTTTGTTGTGTTTCTTTAAGCCAAAAATAAAAATTTCTCTTAACCATAGCCCCAAAAGTTTTTATGACTGTCCTTGAAATTTTCCACAGGGTAGAGTGACAGTGGAGCTATCTCAGAAGAATTGACACTTGCTCAGTTTGTGGTGAAACATCAGGTGCAGAAATGGACAGCCGCAGTGCTGGCGGGATAAGGACATGCTCCCAGCCTGGCTTAGCTTTTGGAGCCACCTGGCAAGACTACTGAGTGAGCCATGGTGACTCTTAGACACTGGGCCAGCAGGCCAGTCACCTCTGTGGAATGAGGGGTGCTGGGCAGCCTAGGCCTGGTGGGTACAGCAAGAGCTGGTGGGTGGGGGTAGGTGCCCCCCAGGAACAAAAATTCCTGACCTGGCTTTGTAAGTCACCACTGTCGTCTTGTAGAAGAAGTCGATGTCTAATGAAGTCTGTGCCCAGGTAGTGCTCGGCCTTGAGCTCGTGACACTGGCATGGGTCAGTGCCTGTGAGAGGCAGGTGTGACAGGGGAGGGGAGAAGCCTGAGATGGAAGTGTTGGCTTTGTCCCAGGGCCAGTTTGCCATGTCTGCTGATTTTAAGAGGGCCAGCTGTGCCAGCCTATGGCTGTGACGCTAGAGCAATAAGCATTCCAGTCCCTGAGCCCTGGGCCCTGCTTGCTTTGCAAGGACAGGCCTCCTGACTTCCCTGGCAGGGGTCAGTTGTCAGCCACCTACCTCCTGGGGTCTAATTTTATGTAACACATGGTCCGTTAATCTCTGAAAACAGGTTTTTCATATTCTGTGATTTGCTGTAAAGATAAGGCCCCCAGAGCAGACACACTGTGTGAGTCGACTAGGCAAAAGGCGCCTGTTGCTTGGTGGGTCCGCAGCCATGAGCAGCAGGGCCCTAGGAGGCTTGAGTCAGGGACGCAGCTGGTTTGGGAGGTGGTAACCGCTCGCTCGCCCAGAGCCTGTCAGGCACCTGAGGCTCCTGGTTCCTGCAGGGTGGCAGTTTCTGAGAACTTAGGAGTCCTGGCAACTTCTAGATGGTTTCTGGTGATGTGATTTTGGGACCAGGCAGCCTGGCAAGGGGCCCCCTTATGGAAGCCACCGTGTGAGAGCGCCCCTCAGGGAGGCCTGCAAGCAGGGGCACATGCTTGAGCCCTTGGGTGGCTTTTATTTCTGGCCTTTTGTTCTTTTGGTTTTAAAGGCAAGACTCCTGATCTCTGCCCGTTAAAAGAAACAGTCGGCTAGTGGACCAGAGGTTCGCTTGGAGTGGCAGGGCTAGGCACGCACTCCTGGACGGGCCTCTGTTTCTCTCTTTAAACACACCTTACTCCCAAGAAGACTTGGAGGCGTTGCCTATAAAATATACACAGAACAGTGGATGTGGGCACAGAGGTGCCGTGAACTCAGGGCTGAGGGGGGCCCAGGAAGTGAGGATTGGCACCCCACGTGCTGCTGGCGGTGGCTGCACGCTGGCTCCCCGCCTTGTAGCAGCCAGAGCAGAGGGGCAGGAGCAGTCGGCCCAGGACTGACCGTGTCAAGGAAATGCAGAGAAACCTGGGATGCGTAGCTCTCCTGGCTGTGCGGACCTCGAGAGTCACCAGGGGCCTCAGAGAGGGATTGCTGTGTGTGTGTGCAGCGAGTCACAGAGCCAGACTCCTGGCGTGAGAAACGACTGGTGCCCGAGGGCTGTCCCCCTCACCAGTGTGTTCCAGCGCCTGGGACAGTGTCTGGCACACAGTAGGCTCTCAACAGTGTTTGTTGAGTGACTGACTCCCTCTGAAAGCCAGTGGCCTAATACTCAAGTGCAATTCTAGAAAGTGATTCTACAGGGGCCCAAATGTGCTTCGCTAGCTTGGCTGACTGTGGGCTAGAATGTGGAGTGCCTGGATGGATCCGTCCCTCCTCACTGAGAAGCAGACAAGTGTTCTTGCTGGAAAAGTAGACCTTTAAAACTTCTCCATTGTGATAACGTGTTCTCCTTTGTCTTCACAGAGACTAATAGACAAGTCACGAGTAACCTGTGTCAAATGGGTTCCCGGTTCGGAAAGCCTTTTCCTAGTAGCCCATTCAAGTGGGAACATGTACTTGTATAATGTGGAGCACACTTGTGGCACCACAGCCCCCCACTACCAGCTTCTGAAGCAGGGCGAGAGCTTTGCCGTGCACACTTGCAAGAGCAAATCCACAAGGAACCCTCTCCTTAAGTGGACGGTGGGCGAGGGAGCCCTCAACGAGTTTGCTTTCTCCCCAGATGGCAAGTTCTTGGCGTGTGTGAGCCAGGACGGGTTTCTGCGGGTGTTCAACTTTGACTCAGTGGAGCTGCACGGCACCATGAAAAGCTACTTTGGAGGCTTGCTGTGCGTGTGCTGGAGCCCAGACGGCAAGTACATTGTGACAGGCGGAGAGGATGACCTGGTCACAGTCTGGTCTTTTGTAGACCGCCGGGTGATAGCTAGAGGCCACGGGCACAAGTCCTGGGTCAGTGTGGTGGCATTTGATCCCTATACCACTAGTGTAGAAGAAAGTGACCCTATGGAGTTTAGTGGCAGTGACGAGGACTTCCAAGACCTTCTTCACTTTGGCAGAGATCGAGCAAATAGCACACAATCCAGGCTCTCCAAACGGAACTCTACAGAGAGCCGCCCCGTCAGTGTTACGTACCGGTTTGGCTCCGTGGGCCAGGATACGCAGCTCTGCCTGTGGGACCTAACGGAAGACATCCTTTTCCCTCACCAGCCCCTCTCGAGAGCAAGGACACACACAAATGTCATGAATGCCACAAGTCCTCCTTCTGGGGGCACTGGGAACAGTGTCACAAGCCCTCACGTGCTGCTGGCGGTGGCTGCACGCTGGCTCCCCGCCTTGTAGCAGCCAGAGCAGAGGGGCAGGAGCAGTCGGCCCAGGACTGACCGTGTCAAGGAAATGCAGAGAAACCTGGGATGCGTAGCTCTCCTGGCTGTGCGGACCTCGAGAGTCACCAGGGGCCTCAGAGAGGGATTGCTGTGTGTGTGTGCAGCGAGTCACAGAGCCAGACTCCTGGCGTGAGAAACGACTGGTGCCCGAGGGCTGTCCCCCTCACCGGTGTGTTCCAGCGCCTGGGACAGTGTCTGGCACACAGTAGGCTCTCAACAGTGTTTGTTGAGTGACTGACTCCCTCTGAAAGCCAGTGGCCTAATACTCAAGTGCAATTCTAGAAAGTGATTCTACAGGGGCCCAAATGTGCTTCGCTAGCTTGGCTGACTGTGGGCTAGAATGTGGAGTGCCTGGATGGATCCGTCCCTCCTCACTGAGAAGCAGACAAGTGTTCTTGCTGGAAAAGTAGACCTTTAAAACTTCTCCATTGTGATAACGTGTTCTCCTTTGTCTTCACAGAGACTAATAGACAAGTCACGAGTAACCTGTGTCAAATGGGTTCCCGGTTCGGAAAGCCTTTTCCTAGTAGCCCATTCAAGTGGGAACATGTACTTGTATAATGTGGAGCACACTTGTGGCACCACAGCCCCCCACTACCAGCTTCTGAAGCAGGGCGAGAGCTTTGCCGTGCACACTTGCAAGAGCAAATCCACAAGGAACCCTCTCCTTAAGTGGACGGTGGGCGAGGGAGCCCTCAACGAGTTTGCTTTCTCCCCAGATGGCAAGTTCTTGGCGTGTGTGAGCCAGGACGGGTTTCTGCGGGTGTTCAACTTTGACTCAGTGGAGCTGCACGGCACCATGAAAAGCTACTTTGGAGGCTTGCTGTGCGTGTGCTGGAGCCCAGACGGCAAGTACATTGTGACAGGCGGAGAGGATGACCTGGTCACAGTCTGGTCTTTTGTAGACCGCCGGGTGATAGCTAGAGGCCACGGGCACAAGTCCTGGGTCAGTGTGGTGGCATTTGATCCCTATACCACTAGTGTAGAAGAAAGTGACCCTATGGAGTTTAGTGGCAGTGACGAGGACTTCCAAGACCTTCTTCACTTTGGCAGAGATCGAGCAAATAGCACACAATCCAGGCTCTCCAAACGGAACTCTACAGAGAGCCGCCCCGTCAGTGTTACGTACCGGTTTGGCTCCGTGGGCCAGGATACGCAGCTCTGCCTGTGGGACCTAACGGAAGACATCCTTTTCCCTCACCAGCCCCTCTCGAGAGCAAGGACACACACAAATGTCATGAATGCCACAAGTCCTCCTTCTGGGGGCACTGGGAACAGTGTCACAAGCCCGGGCAACTCTGCGCCCCCTCCGCTGCCACGGTCCAACAGCCTCCCCCATGCCGCTGTGTCCAGTGCCAGCAGCAAGAGCAGTGTGGCGGACGGGGCCGTTGCCTCTGGGGCCAGCAGATTCGCGACGCTCTCACTGCATGACCGGAAGGACAGGCACCATGAGAAGGACCACAAGCGGAACCACAGCATGGGGCACATTTCTAGCAAGAGCAGCGACAGACTGAACCTAGTTACTAAGACGAGAACGGACCCCGCCAAAACTCTGGGAACACCCCTGTGTCCACGAATGGAAGACGTTCCCTTGTTAGAGCCGCTCATCTGTAAAAAGATAGCACATGAAAGGCTGACTGTGTTAATTTTTCTTGAAGACTGTATAGTCACTGCTTGTCAGGAGGGATTTATTTGCACATGGGGAAGGCCTGGTAAAGTGGTAAGTTTTAATCCTTGATGCTGCGCCAGAACCTGAGTAGGCAGTGACGCTTTCCTACGGGAGGGGTGGGGTGTACGATGAATGTGACACTTCTTACCCTAATGTAAGTCTAAATGCATCAGAGCCATAATTTTGGATACTGCATGCCATGTAATTCTGAATCATTTGATAATTCACCTTAGAACATTTAAAAAAATATAATCAAACTAATTGCCAGCCAGTCAGTCACCCTCCTGGGAGTATATAGAGCCCAAGGCTAGCGTTCCTGTATCAGACAACTTCAGTTTTAGGAGAATCATGACAGTGTGGGAAATGACTTTAAAATAATGAAATTAAAATTTCTGCTTCAACTGGAATATTTTTGCTTAACTACCCAGTTAGAATATTGTATACCTGATCAGAGCGTGCTCACTATGGACGGCCATTAATTGTCATTTATAGTCCAGTTTTTTATCTTAATCATAAAATGTTTAGGAATCTATAAAATTTAACTTTAGGAACAAAGCGTTCAGCAGGGTTGATAACTCTTTTTACGTTGTTCTGGCAATCCACAGAAAAAGAAGAGCCTTAATTTTTAAAACCCATTTTAGTCATTTTATGACAATTAAAGTTGTTTAATAAACATCTTTTTCAAAGAAGCGGTTTGTAGCACTCTGATTGAGATTCGGTGCCCTCAATGAAATGCCACAGTCCTCAGAGCCTAGACAGCCAACGAGCTGCAGGCTGGGGGCGCCACCTGCTGTTGTGAAGTGCCTCTCGCCACAGAAGCCAAGAGCTTTATGTCAAATGCGCTTTATGTTTTTTTTCCAACAAGGGAAAAGAGGTTTTGTTTTCTTTTGTATTTTGTGGGTGTTTTTGGTTTTTTTGTTTGGTCAAAAAGGCACATGGCTGCAGGCCCAGGCAGACGCTCAGCTTCGCTTTGTGAAGGCTCACTGGCGCCAGTGCGAGCGCTTCCTGAAGGCACGCCGGTCCGGGCTCTGTTCTCCCTCCAGAGGGGAAGCGCCAGAGCAGGTTTGCCCCCGTTTCTTATTGTTGGATGGCTGTCAAGATTCCAGGGTCATTCTTGGGACACTGAGGCTGACCTGCCCCGTGGGCTCTGCCCCTGGACCAGGAGCGCATCCCCCTGCAGCCTGGGTGGTGGCTGCTCAGGACGCGGGGTGCTCACACCCCTGCAGGAGACCCGGTTCCCTGGGGAACAGCAGTGTGTGGCCCTCATTCCTTAGGATCCCTACCATCTGGGTGAGGAGTTTCCAGCTTGTTTTCAGCGTGGATGAGATGGTTCTTTGCGCTATATATTTTATGTCAAGTTGATGATTATATTGTTTGTTAACTTATTTTGGTATTTAGGTTGTTTTTCTATTTGCACACCTTTGTAATTAAATAGATACTGATTGTTTATGCTGGTTTGAGTAGTGAATGCAATCCAGGGAAGCGAAGGCTGGGAGACCGGCACCACGGTGAGGGGGCCACGGCAGCTCTGCGCGCTCTTGAGCGCTCCCCGCAGGCCAGGCAAGGCTGGGGTCTGCTTCCTGCTCCCGCACGCGTCATGCTGGGCATGCCCTGCGCACCCATTGTGCCCCCTGGTGTGTGGGTTTCTGTTACCTGGTAGCCGGCGAGTGTCCTGCCACATGACAGCCGTAGCGGCCTCCCAGGTGCACCTCACCCTGGTTTTGCTTCTGGTCCTTCTTATCGTTAAGATACGGTCCTTTGTTCCTAAATGTTAACTGATCTAGGGTGGCAAAGACAGCCATCCTTGTGGATGTCTCAACTTTGGAGGCTAAATTGGGCTGTCAGGTGGAGAAATTAGTAATCACTTCTCCACGTGCAATTATATGTACCTACAAAGTTTCAGAACTTCAGTGTCAAATGCTTCTGAGGCATTGAGTATGCAGTTTCAAAATTCAGGACTTTGTATTTGATCTAAGTGAAGAGGGGCCCATCAGAGGTAAGTGGCCTTTATGGGGAAGCTTACCGCAGCCTTTCAATCCTGGTGCCAGCAGGGAGGCTGTGGATGCGCGTGCCCTGGGGACCCACGCTGGAGCCACAGGCGCTGCGCGATCCTCCAGCCCTCTAGCATGCTCAGCTAGCGGGGGTTCAGGCCGGACCGTGGCCAGGCGACTTACCTAGGAGGCCATCCGGTGGTGGGAGTTGTAGGGGGCGGCAGAGGCCAGAGGAGAGGATTACCGTGTCCTTGAAAACAGGCTCTGAAGTGTGCTAGTGGGAAGAAGCCTGTGGTGTTCCCCCACTTGCCCCTCCACCTTGAGAAACGACGATCATGACACAGTGTGGAATCTGAGGCTTGGTCACAATCTTGTTCTTCCGTTTCTGCTGGTGAGTGTGTCCCCAGCATCTGTCTGGTGCCCTGTCTGAGCCCCTTGCTGGGGGTCAGGTTCCGGGGATGTTGCATGGCTGACCCCCGGCCCCGCCCCGCCCTGCTTGGTGCTCTGTCCCCCTGACACCTGCCCCCTTTCTTTGACAGCCAGCAGAGCACGTCTCCTGCAGTCAGGAGCACAGAACGCAGGGTGTTCTCCGAGACCAGGACTAAAGTGGCCGTCATCTTGAGAAGAGGGCACGGGAGTGGGGGGCTCCCTCCTCCTCCCCTGGATTCACTTCTCAGTGGGGGCCCTTGTGGACCTGGTTGGGGGGGGCACGGGGCCTGATTTCAGGTGCAGGGGGAACCTGGGGAGCGTTTCTGTCATTTTCTCACCAAACTTTGAGCTTCATTGAAATTTGCAAAGTTTTTCAGCTTAAACATCCTGAACGAGAATATGTTTTCTAATCTAACCTCTGGAATAAAACAGCTGTTTGGGGAAGAGAGGCTCTGGCCATTCGGTCAGTGTGACTTTTCTCTTGTGAGCTGAAACACAGGGAAGAAAAGCACAGCCAGAACTCGGCTCCCTCCCAGCAAGATGGGCCTCCCTGCATGCCCAGAGCCCCCCCCCCCAGGGGCGCAGCGGGGCGGGGCCTGTCTTCCTGCCCTGCTCTGGCTCATCTCTCTTAAACTGGGAACCCCAGAAGCCAGGTTTCCGCTGGGCATTGGTGAGGCGGGTTCCTGAAGTCCCCAGCTGCCCCAGCTGCAGCCCTTCTCAGGGACCCTCCTGTTGTCCAGGGGCTGGGGAATTAAAGATCCCCTGAGAGGGCTGGAGAAGAAAGCCTTTGGAAAACCTTGCCTTCCTCTAGAAGCAAATGTGTGAGAGGGAGTAGGCGGACTCTTTAAAAATAACACATGATGCTGGGTTCTAAATTTACTTAAATAGTGGTAAAGAATCTTAATTTTGTCTTTGTGTTGATTGAACCTTCTGGCATTTTTGAAGTGTTCTGCTGTGAGCCATTGGCTTGGGACTTAAATGCCTATGATAGAAAAATGGAGGCATTGAAAAACAGAAATAAGCTATAACGATGACTACTAATCGCCTCTGACACCCAGAAACCAAGAGGAACAAAATGCTTTGAAGCTTCACCAGTTTCACGGCATGTCCCCCCCCACCCCCCAGGTGGGGTGCAGCATTCTGCTTCACTCGCTAACATCCGAGTCCTGGCAGAGAGCCGGCAGCCATTTCTTCCCAATTCCTCTACTTCCTGTGGGGCAGCTTTAATTCTTAAGAAATCGTCAAGTATTGTGTTTGCACTGAGTTAGCGAAGCCACTTATCAGATGTCTGCACCTGGGTGCAAGCTCGTCCTCTCGTGCTTGGAGGGAGATGTTTTATTTCTTTGCTGAGGAAGCTCAAAGTGTGAGGGGAAAAGCAAAAGGGTCAGGGAGGGCTGGAGAAGAATCCTCTGGAAAACCCAGCGCCACATGCTGCACACGCGCGGCCCGAGGAAGAACTAGCAGTGGGGTTCAATCATTGATTTTCCGGAAGAGATGCACGGAGTGCAGCTTCCCGTTCTGCGTGGAGGGCGACCTGTTGTGGCCGCCACGCATAGGTGAACAAGGGGAAGCAGTCGCCTCTGACTGGCAGTGCCATTGTGCTGGGGGTGTCCACTGTTGGGGTTCCCCTCGGCAGGGAACCTCTGCGGCCGTGTGTCGGCCTGAAAAGTCACCTGGAGATGTCTGCTGTCTTGGGCGCACAGCAGGGAATAGTCCGCAAGGCCCTCCCCTTGGGCTGCTTGGGACCCTCATCTGTTTGGGTCGCCAAGGGGCTCAGCCCCATGACCTGGGCATGGCCAGTGAGAGCAGCCTGCAGTCTGGAAAGTGATGTCCAGTCACATTAACAAGCACTTGTATTCAGTTGTGCCCTTTGAAACGGAGACCCCAAGTTCAAACCTACATGAAAATGCTCCTCCGGGAGAGAGAAACCGTTCCACTGGTATTGACTTTCTGTTCATCCCTGCGTCTGTTACATGAACTTTGTGTCATAGTTAAATTGCTGTTTCTTGATTTTAAAGTGTAAAAGAAGAACTTTCTGCATTTTTGATCTCTGTATACTTAAGTTTATTAAAGATTGCTATGTTAGGTGACACTGTATAAAGTTGTATGAATACCTTCAGTGAAAATCAAAAGTAAAATTCATACATATTTCCTTTTTTTCACATCTTCATCTAAATTCTTGACAACTTGAATAAATTTCACAAAGAGCCTTCCTAACATGAAATGTTGATAAATTAAAGTTCTTAGCTGTTGCAATATGAAGCTTTAATTATCAGTATTGTTAACTTATACTTTTAAGAAAACCGTGTTTGTTTGCTGCTTTGGTTTTTAAGTTGTCACTCACTCTCGAAGGTAGAGACTCACTACATACTCGATAATGCTGAAGTGCTTGGGGTTGGCCTCTGTATACTGACATTAAATAAATGTGTGACTGAACTGTAAATATAGGTAATTTTTAATAGTCATTTTCACATTTAAAAAGCTTTAAAAATCTTAATTAACCAAAAAAGAAAGCTTATAAGTGCTGTAAAATTAAGGGCCTTGTTAATGTTCATAGAACAAATAGCCACAGTTACTGTCGCCTTATTACTAATTCTGAGTTTCTCATAATAGAAACTTACTACGCGAAACGTTTGCTGTGGGTATTGAAGGTATTGCCTTACGTGGCGCTCATCTACACCAAAGCTAACCTGGGGAGGGGTGTGGGTTTCAGCCGAGCCATCTCAGGCTCTGTTTAGTGAGGGTTCTGACATTCTGAAGTTGCCCTGGGCTGTGCCCTGGCTGGACAGCGCAGACTCAGTGCCCCAGCTGTGGGGCCAGCCGCCAGGAGGACGGAGCAGATGCTAGCAGGCTTCTATAGGAGCTCGTTTCCCAGCGAGATTTTGTTGTTTTCCTGCCCTTGATCTTGAAAAGTTTGCTTGAGGCTTTGTGATGGCTGTTGAGGTTGCCCTCCCTTAGACACCAGGCCCTGAGGCTTCACTGCAGAATGGCTCCCTAAGCAGGGCAGTGGGAGATGGTCCAGGGAGGGTGGGAAGTGTCTCCTCACTCTGGCAGACGTGAGTGGTGTGAGCAGCACCCTGATGTCTTCATCCCTCAGGGCTTCAAGGCAAGAATTCCAGACCTAGACCAGCAGGTCCCCACAGAGGCGAAAGGTGCAGCTGAGCTGTCCTGAGACATAGCCCCTGGCAGGTCCCGTGCTCCTTAACTCCACGTCCTGCTGTTTCGTACGACCTCGGAGCTTGGGGCCGGGCAGGCCTGGGGGCCCTCCCTCCTGGCTGCCTCTCCTCTAGGTTGGCAGCCTGCCTCAGTGATGCCCAGGGGTCCAGAGTCTTCTGACTGCTGTCCCCCCGGCCTCCAGCACCCTGTGTGCTCTTTGCTTTGACTGAGCTGCCAAAGCAGAGGACACGGGCCTCCTGCCCAGGAGCAGTGGGTTCCTTGTTTCCTCAGAGCGAGTAGATGTTACGTCCCAAATACTGCTAGGCTGACAAAGTTTAAAAGGACACACACGCATTTTGATCTTTTAGAAATAACTAGTTTGTCCATTCAAAAATATTGCTTGTCCTTTCTTCCCTTTGTGGCCACCTGTCAGAAGAAACAGTTGATTCTGACCCAGTGAGTCTGGGAAGCGACAGAATATCTAGGGGCCCCCAGGGCAGTGGGTCAGGGCAAGGCAGGGTGCAGAATGGCCTGGGGGTGGTCCAGGGAAGCAGAGCCTAGTGGCAGCCCTGCTGGGCAGGGAGGCTGTGCCTCACCTCTGAACCTGGCCCATCCGACCCGGGGACTTCGGCCTCATGTGCCTCTGGATGAAGTGGCGGCTGCTGTGTCTTCCGCCTTGGGCAGCGGTCTGGATAGTGTGAGTGGATTCCTGGGGCTGGGGCGGCAAGTACATATGTAGGTAGAAGCGTGCCTGGTGGTACTTACCATTTCTGTGCCACCTAAAAGGGCATCACCTGACCTCGTGGCCTGCAGATGAGATGCAGTGATGCGGGGCCCGCTGCCGGGGGGAGGAGCTGCTCTGCGGAGGCTGCCGGGATCGGAGGCCAGGCTTCCAAGGAGGCCAGCCCAGGTGGCCTCTGCAGCACTGCTCTAACCCCCGGGCGCTCCCGCACCGGCTTGGGAGATGGGCTTTAGTCGGTCTGTTTGACGTCAGCCTGTCCCTGCCAGTGTACGTGTCACTTCTAGTTGGGGTGCGGAGGGTGACCTGAGGGAGTCAAGTGACCAGGCTTTGAGGAAGGCCCGGGGGTGACTGGGTGAACCCACGGGCAGCCCAGACTTGCTGACCTCCCCACAACTGCCCTCTGGCGGCCTGAGGCCTCCGATCCCACAGCCAAGGCGAAGCGCTAGAGTCCGTTGAGATGGCCGCCACGTGCCCGAGGGGACTTCAGGACAAAGCCTATCTCTGACATGGGTCTCTGTGACCCCCGCAGCCGCCTCCTGCCGTCAGGGTTGACAGTCTCTGCAGTGCCCACCAGCACATGCACACCCTTTGTTGTAAATTGTTTTTTTAACCAAAATATTATTTTTCCGATACATTCTTGTGAAACAAGGCTTAATACTACTACCTGAGCATTACAAATTGTAACCAAGCCCAAAGTAAGAGCTGGAATATTCTATCAATCTGCAAATGAAATCTCTTGCAGGAATAAAATGGAAACTGGTGAGAACAGAGCAGCGTTTTAAACAACTGGATTCAAGAATTGTCGCTGTTTTGATAATAGGCTTCCTCCCTGGAGGGGTGGCTGGTATTCAGATTCTTGGCTGGAGAAATCTTTTGCTTAATTGATATTTGTAAAGCTCTTAATTGCCAGCTGCCCGCGTCACCCCCAGCGACCATGCCGCCGACACCTGGGAGCAGGCGTTGCCCATCGATGCCTGTTCTTTGTTCGTTCCTCCCTGAGAAAAGTAACCAGGGCGGGTGTGGGGACAGCAAGACTGTCCCCCAGAGGAGGCGGCTGGGGCATCGGTCCCCGTGCTGCTGCGCACACCTGCAGGGGCCGTCTCCCCGCAGCAGCTGTCCCCGGCGGGCCCCACTCCGGGCTCTGCGTCAAGGTGTCCAGCTGGGCTTCCTCTTCAGGAGTCGTCTGGAGCCTCGAGGAAGGGCTGTAAGGCTGTGTTTTCTATCTGCTCTTTGATCTCCAGTAAGGTTTCAACTAATGCACAGTTTATAGAAATGAGGGGACTTTTCACATTTGATTTTCTTTTGAATGGCTGTGTTTTCCCCACTGCCTCCACTGTCCTTCACAGCAAAACAATTCCATCTTCAAGAAGAGAACAGGTATCAGGTCAGCATCCCATTGACCATAGGCCAGACAGGGTCCTCGCCCGGGTGCTGGGTGCTGGACCCCAGGGCTCAGGCCCCAGCCCTCCTTACCTGGGGAGTTAGGTAGGTAGGTGGTTAAGAGGGTGTCGCCCTCTCCTTACCTGCTGCTGACCTGGAAAGGCCTTGCCAAGTCCTTATTTCAGACCCTTCCTCACCCCCACACCTGGACAGCCACAAACCCACACCTGTGCAGGATGCCCCAGTTCTGGAGCTCATGTGCAAGGGCCCCTCGGGGGGTGGGCTTGGGTAGTGCTGGAAATGGGGCTGAACTGCCGGTCCTTGTCGCACCTCTCCGCCTACTCCCCTCTGCTCTGGTAGAGGGGCCCCTTGCCCAAGCACCCCAGGTCCTCAGGACCCCTCTGTGGCCAGGCTGAATAGCTCAGGCTGCCTCCGGGCTCAGTGCCTGAGGCCCGGGCCCCCCATTGGACCCCAGGGGCGCGCTACTGTTCAGAGTCCGTGCTGAAGTAGTCCACCAGGGGAGACATCGTAAAGGCTGACCCTGTCAACCAAAGCCCAGTCCCCCGGATGCTTAGTGACCAAGGGTGCAAGTGTGGACCACAGAGGCTGGAAGGTGGGCCGAGGGTGGGCGCTTGCTTGGATAACCTTCTATCTCTTTTGAACGTGGGCCTCTGTGGACAGTAGGATGGCAGCGGGGGGTGGTTCTAGCTGGTCCCCACTGCTGTCAAAACTGGGATTAGGGCTTTAGCCAACACAGACCGGGGAGTGGGTGTGTGCATTGTGTACAGAAGTATGCAGGGGGGGGGTGCTTCTCAGGGATAGGGAGATGGGCAGCCCGTAGGGCAGTGTGTCCCCACTGACATCAGGACCAGTGCCTGTGCCACCTCTGTGCCTTGGCACCCACCTACCCTTGGGACAAGGAAGGGGCCCAGTCGTCCAGGGCTGTCACTCAGAATTGGAAAAAGCCCATGGCAGGGGAGGCTGGGCTGGGACAGCCAGGCCTGTACGCCCACCGTGGCAGTCATGAGTGACCTGTGTGCGGCCCCTGAGCACTGGGAGTGTATCAAAGGCTTCAAAAAGAATGTAAAGTGTGTCAATAACAATTTTCACACTGATTACATGTTGAAATGATAACATGGGATATATTGGGTTAAATGATACATTAAAACTAATTTCACCTGTTTTTTAACTTAAATATGTTACTGGCATGTAAATTCCTTGCTTACATGGCTCGTGTGGTCCTCGTGCGGGACGGCGCTGCGCTCAGAGCCTCCTCGGCACGTGGGGAACTGCGCTGCCCCGGGTGGCGTCCCGGGGGCCAGAAGAGGGCCCGAGGGGCGGCCTCCGGGTCCCTGCCCCGCCTGCGTCCTCGTTCTCCCTTCGCTTTTGCGTTGGGGATAGGGGTGCCCATCCCTCTTGGAGACCTGGCACGGTTCCTGGACATCCCTTAACGCCCGGAAAGCACTCTCTTCAGCCCCTCGGAGTGTGTCTCCCTGTGAAGGCAGAGAATTCCCGCAGGGAAGGGGCTCCCCCCAGGCTCTCCTGCCCAGTGGGGCCGAGGCGGGGCTGGCAGGAGCAGCGCTGGGCCGCCACCTTGCTGTGCAGGTCTCGTCGCGGTGGGCTGAGGGGGGTGCGGAGCATTCTGCTCCCCTAGAAGTCGGCACAGGTGGGGCCTTTTCAGCAGTGACTCCGGATCCGAGGAAAAGAGCTCCTGTAGATTCTGGCACAGCTCTCTGCTTCCTCATCTCGACTAGATGAACAGAGGCGGTTTTAAGGTCAGAGACTGGAGAGAAATGACTCGGAGTGGACAGGGCCCCTCCCCTGGGGTGTGGGTGAAGCCAAAGGTGGATTTCAGACTGTCACCCTCCTTGGTATCTGCACAAGTCCAGCATGTGGAACCGCAGCCTGTTTGCGTAGAGTTGAAGGCTTGTCATGTATAAACAATACTAACAATTGAAGCATTTTTCAGGACAGCTTAAGAAGAAATTTGTGTTCAAAAAGCTGAAAATTTGTAGCTTCAGTGTTGCACTATTGTAACCTTAGAATTATTCTTAATAAGTGAATGCCAAACTCCGATTGACCACATGCATCCCAGTACTAAGTACAAAGAAATGCAAGGGCTCTTTGCCTCATGAGGTTAACCCCCCCTCAGGTTTATCTGAACTCATGCCCGTGTTGCCAGAGGCCTCCCCCCTCAGTAAGCGCCGCCAGGAAGGGACAGACGTCCCCTTACTGTGCAGGAGGGAAGCAGCCCCAACACCAGGCCGCCAGCACGCTGCAGCCAGGGGCGGGACTGAGCTCTGTTCCACGCCTCCCCACCCCATGGCCCAGATTCTCTTTCCTGACCTGCTGGCCCTGTGCAGACGCTGGTGCTAGAGCCGCAGGCGTGCCACCATCACGTCACCCAACCAGAGAAAGGACCCCTGGAAAGGAGACTTTTAAAAAGTGCCGCTAAACTCTGTCAGTGGAGGCTGAGGCTGGCCCTGGAGGGCAGGTGCGCAGTGCGGAGGGGCAGGTCGTGGCCCCGCCCCCTGGGAGCTGCCGCTCGCCTGTGGGCCACCCTGCTCACCAGATTGCCCCCAAGCAGGGGGCCAAATTCAGTGGGTCCGATTAGTCAGGAATGTTATGCAATCCAGTAGGTGAAAAACGGAGGATTTGTTAAAACACTGGCTTCCAAACAGAAATCTACCTTGATCATGTGAAATGGCGGGAGAAGTCTTCGCTGGATTAATGTGAACTGCTTTGTTTGCAGGGTGTATTGTCATCCCCAAACCAGGCCGGGCCTCCGGGCGGAACTGTAGTGTAGCGACCCCGCTGCTGCTCGAAAATCCCGCCCCGCCAGTCCGCAGGGAGAGGCCCCAGCGGACGCACGGAGCTGCGCTTCGGCTTCAGCCTCAGCCCCCGGCGGCCCACGCATGGCGGGAGGCAAGTCACCTGGCGGAGGGCAGGCGCAGGGCTCACTGGGCACCCAAAGAAGTTTCCAGTTTTAAGTCGTTCTTTTGAGGCTGCAGTGAAAAATAAGAAACAGGATTTTCTTGCTTTTTATTTTAAAATTCAGTGTAATTAAGATCTCATAAATACATACACACACACACACACACACACACACAGTGTAAAGTAACATATTTCTTGGACAAGAAATGCCCTTAAATTCAACTGTTAAAACCTGTACTTCACTCTTTTTGGTTTTGTACTGATTTTTTTTTATATGTTTGGTGGTCAGAAGACAACCTGGAATGCAGTCATAATGAGAAAGTTGTTACTTTCTAACTTCAATATGAAATTCAGGAAAACATACTGCAATGACAAATTTTTAAAAAATTGTTTGCACTTATAGTTTAATGCTGTTAGAAAATTACTTTGAATATGGCCATGCATGGTGGCTGCATGGCCCTCCAAGGTGTGGCTGTGAAGATACTCTTTCTAATCTGTTACATTTATTTTAATACTGTTGTTCCCAGTGCAGCCAACTCCGTGTTACATGTGTACATAATGTGATTCTGCTACTAGGGGAAATGGTCACTTCACTAGTAATTTTCACCATTTAAGAGTGGTATTTCTAATTCACAAAAACAGTATTAAAACTATCTTGAATATACCATTTGCTTCTCTTTTGTTAAACTGGCTCCATTTTAATGTCCTTTTGAATGAATCTGGTGGTGTGGAATCATGCTGTCAGTGCACCGCCCACCAAAGCCCTCTCCGCGCCCAGCCCACAGAGGGTGCGGCCGTGTGGGACTGTGCTCACCTGCAGGGGGCTCTGGGCCCCTTCTCGCCGGTCCACAGCCATTGGGGGCACGTGTGCGCGATACTGGGGGGTCAGACTCGTTCTTGCCTTGCTGCCTACAGCCCACGCATCCACCTTTTGTCATTGGAAACGCCTGTGGCCACAAACAGCTCGGTCCCTCTGGTGAGTGTGAAGGTGGTTTGCTAGCCATGCAGCGACGTGAAGCACCCAATGGAACTGCATGGGGTTTGGTCTGGTGGAAGCCAGCTCACGAGCAGCTGAGCAGAGGCCACCCCGAGTGGGCTCGAGGGGGTTTTAGAACGGCAACCCTGGGCAGCTGTCACAAGGAAGAAATGTTTCTCAGCTTAAAAACTCATGCCCAGTGGGACCCTTGGAAGGCTTGCTGCTTTGGTGGCCCTGTGTCATGAAGTCTCTGAGACACGTCTCTCTCAGCGATTGCATTGAATCAGACATGTCTGCATGACTTTAGGTAGAAGCCTGAGCGCACACCTTTCATTTTCACCCTTCGTGGGACTCAGCAACAGGGCCATGTTGCTGTTTCCAGAAAAGTCTCATTGGCCTTGGTCTCGGCTTCATTCTCTGCGGAGAGGTCAGTTACAGCTGAGTCCTGGCCTGGCCACCACAGGCCAGGAGGGCCGCTCCTCTCAGAGGCTCCAGTGGCTTCCTCACACTGCAATGGACACACCACAAAATACTAAGACACCTACTGCTTTAAGTGAAAGAACCAGAATTTATGTAAAGTACACATACAAAGTGATCTCTAATTCATATTAAAATGTACTGTTAGCACATTTTAGATAGTTTGATATTTGGTGTTTGTGCCTTTTTAGGTGTTGTAAGTTACACAGAAAACCCAATCCATGCAGGTCCAAGAGACAGACGAGGAGGCCACACGTATTTCTGGAGATCACAAAGGGCTGCCTCTGAAAATCAAGTCTAGAATTTGGGATCTCACGGCCTCTTGGATCGTCTATTTGTAGGAAGTGGAGGTGGGCACCTGCCAGGCCCCAGGACAGTGATGCAGGTGAAAATTCAAGTACAGTTTGGCCATGGCTTCCTCTGGCCAAGGTCTGCGTTGTGCCAGGTGGACACTCCTGGCTCTGCCCTCCACCGCTCGCCCTTCGCTCGGGCTCTGGAATGCAGTATGCAGCTGACCTCCTGCACTGATGCTGTGGGGTGTCCCAGTTTTCTGCAGGTGCATCTGTGCTAGGAACACTCTACATGGCTCTGTTCCCAAGACTGGTCCCTGGCCAAGTGGGCCAAGATGGCTCCCCAATCAAAAGCCCCCCAGCCACCACCACCACTGTGGACACTCAGCACTTGACAGGCCCTGGACAGACAGCCTCACTCAGAAGCTGTGGAGGCCGTGGACATTAGCGTCAGCACACCTGGTCTGGTTTTTGCTTTTCCTTTCTTCCTTGAGATTTGTGTCGGAGTTGGTGAGTGCATGCTTCCCTCCTGGAGAGGCCTTAGCAGAGTCGAGGGAGGCGGGCACTCCAGGGAGCTCTGGGCGGTAAGCTCGTGTGTGGCTTGGCTTGGGCAAACGCACCTCTGGCCTGGGCACCCTCACGCCAGCAGTGTTTCTGCTCCGTGAGCTGGTTCACATAACACCGCCAGAGCTGGGATCCTTACACGGAGAGCCTGCTCACCACCTCTGCCCAGACAGCATGCCAGGCCCACACAGTGAGGGAAGCAGCCAGGCTGGTGTGCTTCTGCCCTGGGTGTTCCTCTGGCTGAGATCAGGAGGGTGCGGTGGGTGGAGGCTGGGCTGGGCACTTGGCAGGTGCCTGTAAACACTGTGGAATGAGTGAATTTGGCAGGATGGCACAGCGGTGGTGAGACTGGCTGCTTCCCTTCCGGATTTCTGTGGCGAAGAATCAAGTGCTTCAGGAGTCACTGAATAGTTGCCCAGAAAGGCTTAAATGGCCTTGTCGCCTTTGAGTCTTGCCAATTTGGAGTGGGCAGAGCCCCCGCCAGTGCTCTAGCAGCCGGCCCAGGCGGCCATCTGTGCCCTCACAGGCCTGGCCGATGGAGAGCAGGTGCAGAGCTCTGGGAGCCACGTCGTCTGGCACGTGGCTGGCTCCCCTGCACCCAGCAGGTGTGGGAGCTGTGCTTGGAGATGAACTTTTTCTGCCCCCCAAGTCCACGGGCACATGGATTTACCCTTGCAAGGATGATGTGCAAGTCACGCTGAAGGCCCAGGAGCCCCGTGCTGCTCGGTGGGGGCAGGTGGGCGGCTGGGACTGGCACTGCCCACGGCAGGCCTGCTGGAGCTGTGATGTGGACTCTGGTGGGGCTGCCTGGCGGGAGGCCCTGCTCAGGGTAGGCGGTGGGCCGAGCTCCACACTGCTGAGAGTGTTGATTCCCAAGACTGACATGAAAGTGAAGGGCCTGTTTGGTGGACAGGGCAGGCCCCCGAGCACACAGCCCTGCCGGCCCACCACTGGGAGGGATGCGTTTGCTTTCTCAAAAAGGCACATGGAAGAACTTCAAAGATTCTTCCTTTGAATTTTATACAAAGGAGGTAAGTTTCCTGGACACACAAATACCTGTCAGCCCTGTGGTGTGCCCTGGAGCCTGTGCTTACGGACAGCGCCCCCTCTTCAGGCCCACACCCCCACTCAGCCTCACTGGCCCCTCCTCCTGCTGGGACACAGTGCCCCCATTGCTGGTCTCCTCCTGGTCCATGAAACTGCCCCGGTTCCCAGTGACTTGCAATTCCCAGGCTTTCTGCAAGACAGGACGGCAACTTCCTGCTCCCCAGGGCCACTTCTGCAATGGGGCATCCCTGAGGGCCCCGCCAGGGTCTCAAATGGGTTCAAAAAGAAGCTCTTTCTAACCCCTCGCCCTGTGCACCCAGCTTGTACCGTCACCTTAAGCCTCATTCCTGGCCTGCTCTGCCCCACAGCCAACCCATGGGTCTCCTCCCTACTCAACCGGCCGCAGTAACCCACTGGGTCCTGCTGTCTGACCTGGGGCTGCAGCGGGCACTCTCCCTGGCCCAGCTGTCCTGTTGCTCCCGGGTCAGCATCTCCACCTGTTAGGGTGCAGAGGCGACGCCACTGGAGAGCACATGGAAGAATGTCACAGACGGGTCCCGAGAGGAGAGGGACAAGACTGAAGCTGACGTAGGAAACAGGCTTCATGTTTAAGTTGGAGAAGATCAAAGGAAGGACCCGCCCACTACCAGGTCACATTCCAAGCCAGAAAGGGGCTCCCCTGCCCTCAGGGAATCAGGTCCTTTTTGGGCCCAACTGATGGCTGGCTCCCCAGAAATGAGCTCAGCACCACAGGAAGCTGCCTTCTGTACTCAGAGGAAGCTGGGCCCAGGAGCTGCAGTGTCAGGCCCCGAAGCCGAATGCCGCGCCCGCCACAGCCCGGGAGCCGCCAGCACAGGCCTGGGCTTCCTCAGGGGCTCGGCTCCGCCTGGGAACAAAAGCAAACCACGCAAGGTCTTCCCCCGAAGATCTACTTCCTAATGCGCTCATAAAAGCGTAAGTAAAGGAACCAAGAGCCAGGACATGTGTTTAAGTCAGAAGATATAAAAATAGTGTGACTGTTAGCTTATTCTTTAATAGAAACCAGGGGCTCCAACAGCAGCATCTCTAAGCTGCAACTGGCGATGTAGTAAAAGCACAGCATGCAGGGCCCACGGGGAAACCACGTCTAAATAATACATAATGTAAATTCTAATTTCTGTTCTGATTCATATAAAAAATTACAAACTATTCCCTGCCCCAAATTCTTAGGTTATGAAAATGAAATAAAACCCCAGAATGAGGTGGTCTTACAAATGTATTTGACCGGTGCAGACAGCAGAGCTGCTCTCGGGGAGCAAGTACCCGTGGGCTGGTGGCTGCAGGCCGAGTGGGCGCGCCCGGTCTGCGGGGCAGCGCGCTGCGACACCAGGCCTCTCCCTGGAGCGCATCCCCTCCTTAGACGCCATCCGCCGGCCGGCCGGGCTCGAGCTGCGGCAGGTGAGGGGGCGTGGGGCTCAGCATCCTCCGCCCTTCCTTTCCAGCGTGGGCAGGCGACACTGTTTCAGGCCAGGCTTTATGTCTTTCTGCATATCTGCCTGTTAAAGAAAAGCACGGCTCGTGAGTGCAGCCGGGACGGGTAGGGGGCAGCTCGCTGAGGGGGGCGGGGCCGGGCTACCTTCTGCTCTGTGCCAGCACACTTCAGGGGTCTCAGCCCCTGGGCCTGCTCGTTCCCTCCGGGTCCGAACACGGACTGCAGCGCCGGGCTGGAGTACGAGGACAGTTTAGTCACCCCCGAAAGCTTAAGTTTGGGCAGTTCCATTAGGTAGGCCGGTCCTGGTCTCCTGGTCAGGGCCTCTTGCTTTAGGGGCTGTTTCTTAAAACAAAACACAGGTCAGCTGAACACACGACGGCGCCCCCTTTCCGGAGACCAGGGAACGGGGCTCTGTGCACTGATGCCCAATACAGCTGACTTCTGGACCATAAGATGCGACCATATGGCGGCTACACAGCACAACCCCGTGACCCAGCCGCTCAGAAGTGAGGTGGCCGCTCGCTAGAACTCTGCACGTCCCCGTCCCTCCGGGCAGCCACTGCGCCAGCCGACAGGTGACACCCGACTTGGCCCGGACGAAGGCAGAGGCTGTGGCGACACCGACGTGATAACTCCCTGAGGTCGGCCGGATCAGCCCGCCGCCTGCTTGTGTGGCTGGGGACCAAAGAATGGTTTTACATTTTTTATTAGTTGAAAAAAATTATATGAAATTTGTCAAATTTCAGTGCTCAGAGTTTTACCGGGGCACAGCCCGACCGTGCACTTACACCCCATCACGGCCCCAGAGAAGAGGGGACCACTGTGACAGGGAACCCAGGCCCACAAGGCCTCGGGTGCCCCCAAGCGGCCCTCACACAGGTTGGGGCCTTCGTGGGGCTGGCAGGAGTGGCACGCTCAGGCACCTGCGCTGCAGGGAGAGGAGGCCGAGCATGGGCAGCAGTTGGGAGGCAACATGCGGCGGCTCAGGGCCTCCCGAGCTGCGGAAAGGAAGCTGCCTCCGTGCTTGCTGGGGAGACGCGGGCAAGCAGGTGTGGGCAGGTCCGCCCCTTAGACAGCCAAGCGAACCACCCAGCAAACGGCGGGACACGAGTGTGGAATTCCAGAAAGCAGCCTGGCTGCGCATCCTTCCGCGTCCTCAGCTCCGGGCACGTGACGCCCCCACGAACGCTGCGCTGACTGGTGAGGGGGCCAGCCCGGAACGTGCAAGTGGTGGCACCGAGCACACGGGGCCGGGCAAGCGGCACCGCCACAAGAGGCGCCCTTTTCCACCGGGAAGTGTACGGACAGAGCGCCCACCGGGTGGGGGGCTAGGCGGCGAGAGGCCGTGGCTGCCCGGGCGGGCCACGCCCCCCGATTGGTTCGGCCGACGGGCACGGCCAGGCGACGTCCGCAGAGTGCCCGGGCACAGACCCCGCACCGGCACGGGGAGGAGTCCCACCTCACCTGCGCCTGCGCACCCGGGATGTCCTTGACCCTTAGGAGTGGGGCAGAACGGGCGGAGCCAGCGGAGGGGCCCCCGCCCCCCGCACAGCGCCTGCCACCCCCGCGGGGCGCCCTTGCGGGGCAGACGCAGCTGCCTCGGCCGCCACAGGGGGCGCCCTGCTCAGGGAGACGCGGGCCACCCCGCTACTGGGGCCCATTTCCAGCCCGCTGACCTCCCAGTACCTGCGTTCCGCCGCCCTTCCAAACCGCGCAGTTGTTCTGCAGCTCGGACGCCACGGGGCGCCCTGGGAGGAAAGCTTTTCTGCGGCCGCCCAGAGCCTGCCTTTCAGCTGCCCTGCAGGGGACGGAGGGAGAAGGGCGGCCCCCGCTGAGGACCCGCACGGCCACTAGCGCGGGCGTCTGCGGTGTCTCCGCACTGGCAGTGCGCCATCCCATGACCTGCCACAGCAGCCGTTTCTCCTTTTCTGTCTCCGCGGGCAGCCCCTGGGCCGCACGAATGAACCGCGGGCACTGCCCTGCGGCGGCCCGCGCCCGCCCAGCCACCTGAGGCTTGGGTCGGACTTCACCCCCCCCAGTCACAGATGCCCTGGGGGCAGGTGCTCCAATGCCAGGTGCCATCCACCGGGCCTCCAGCCTGACAGCGATCTACCGGTTTACACTGACGCCCACCAGGCTCCCCCCAAGTCTTAACAACCAGAGCGTTGGCCTGGGGACAGAGCGGCCACAGAGCCGCCGGAAGTTTAGCGTGGGGCCACCAACAGCCTCCCTGGGGAGGCCGACCTGATCCGAGCAGCCGGGTTCGAGGAGGCCCCGCCCCGCTGGCGCGCTGTTGCTCAAACCACTTGCCCCTCGCGGGCGGCGCGGTGTACCTACCTCTGCTCATGGAAGTAGGGATGCTGCAGGGCCTGGTGGGCAGTGATTCTGTCATCGGGATCATAGGCCACCATTGCGTGCAGAAGGGAGAGGCATTGCGGGGACAAGTTGGCTGTCAGTAGGGGTATTCCTGATCCCTTTTTAAAAGGAAAATCAAAACTCATAGCTCTCGACCTGTATTAAAAGCCCAATGATAATAAAGATCATGCATTATTTAGAGCACGTGGCCAGCCCCTCACCATGACTCTCCAGGGGCCTGTGCTGAAGGCAGCTGCGTATGATCTAAAAGTGGGGCATGACTGTGCAACTGCCCAAACCCGTGGTGCGTAGGACACAGGGGTCCCCCCTCGTGTAAGCTGTGGGCTCTGGGTGGTGATGGTGCAGCCCTGTAGGCCTGTCAGTCATAGCAGCTGTACCACTTTGGTGCCATGCTGATGGCGCGGGGCTGGGCCTGGGTCGGGCAGGAGCACTGGGACATCTCTGTGCTTTCTGCTCACTTTTGCTGTGAACCTAAAACTGCTCTAAGAAATAAAGCCCACTTTTTAAAAGTGTGTGTGGGGGGTGTCACCAAATCTATTATGTTATCAATGTCAGAAAACCACTTTTCCTTGAAAAGACTAATAGCATATTCCCACCCGAGAAGAATCAAATGAAGTTTAAAGAAAGAAAAAGAACCCCAAATAGCTGTCATATCCTTACGTTTGAGGGCCTAGAAGCTGCCGGGTGCTGCGACCCCCAGCCCACAGGGCTTTCCTGCCAAGGCCCCCACTCTCTGCCTCAGCTTTGACCCAAACAACCTGATAAGGCTGGCCTGGGTGTCAGTGGGTGGTAGCTGCACAGGGTCCTCACTGCGTAGCCCCTGAGCCTGGGGAGCCTGTTTAATATTCAGGGGTCTAACCTGACTGCTGGGCCCTCAGGGGACTAAGGCCTCTTCTGGGGAGCCTGAGGGAAGTACCCCTCTCGGCAGGTCCTTGGGGGTGGCAGTTCTGAGTAGCCATGGCACTGGCACCTGAGGTGGACTGAGGGGCTGCAGGGGTAACAGATGCCACCTATCCAGCCCTCAGCCCACTGCTGCCACCAGGCCCAGGGGGTGCGGGGCAGGCCCACATGGACTCTTACTGTTTGAACTTGGTGAGGGTCTTCTCAGCAGGTGTGCCAATGACGTCATGGATCTTTGAGATCTGGTCCAGCTCACTGGCTCCAGGGAAGAGAGGCTGCAGACTGGAAGTGTGCAACAAGGGGCTGCGGTTAGGACGTGGGGCGCCTATTCACCCTGGGCAGTCAGCCTCCCTCTGCTGGGTGGCTCGCTCCCAGGAAACCCAGGGACACAATACCACCTGCATGGTAATCCTCATTGCTAAGGGATCTCCAATCCCTCTTCTGTTTGGGCCTATTTCCGATTTACCAAGGTAGGTGTCTTGCTAAGAGACAGCCATGTTCTTCTCTCTGTACTCGAGGGTCTCGCAGTAAAATGTGAAAGCTCATACGTAACCTCCCCAGCAGGCCTCCTGACAGTCCACAGGAGTTTTGTGGATGAAAATTCAAGGTAGGTCAGATCAGGTTTTGTTGACAAATGAATTCCAAGAAACTCTTTGGTTTTCAGAGCTTCTATGGATTTTGGAATTGTGAATAAAAGATCTCAGGATTATGGGAAGAAAACAAATCCTATCCTTCTCAACAACACGGATGGAGCTAGAGGGTACTATGCTCAGTGAAATAAGCCAGGAGGAGAAAGACAAGTACCAAATGATTTCCCTTATTTGTGGAGTATGGGGGGGAGTTGCTCATGTGAAATCTTCATAAGAGTGTATATCAATGATACCTTAATAAACAAACAAACAAACAAATAAATAGGTCTCAGGCTTATATAAATTTAGGTCATATTACATGCCACAAAGAAGAGTTGAAAAATATAGGTCTGGTAGGAAGACTGTCAATACCCTATGGCCACCAGAGAGAAGAGGAAAACACAGGTGAGGAGGACACAGCTCTGAGGTGGGGGCACTGGGGTGGCAGCACAGCATGCTCTACCGGTGGGTTCCCCACAGGCTACCCCACATTCTGATCTGATGCCAGCAGCTAATGCAAAGGATTTAGCACACAAGTAAGGATTGTCTGTTGGTACTTTCAGCTTCACTGAAGTTGCCAGTCAGCTTTCCAAAAACAACAAATTATCAGTGTGAATGATCTAGAGTCAAAAGGTGTGTCCTGAGGTGCACATATGTCTCTAATTATGAGGTGGTCGGCTGAGCGGGCAGGAGCAGACAACTGCGTGGAGTCCTGCTGTTCCAAGGCCTGTCCCCCAGATGCTGAATTCACCCAAATGTCTTTAAAGGTCCACCACAAGCAGAGGCTGCTGCCCCACCCTTTCCGTGGGCTTCTTCAGCCTGACCCCCCACCCACCTCTGAATGAGACAAGCCCACCCTCCCTTCTCGGCAGGCCACCGCTCTGCCCAGTGGTGGAGCCCAAAGCCTGGGGGTGGGAGGCCGGGAAGGAGCGTTAGGACTGGGGCTTCTAGAACCCCGCTGTGCCAGCACGCGGCTCACCCTCACACCTGTGGCCAAGGCATCCTACCGGATGTGACCGTGCCTCTTAGGGTGGCCCCAGGAGGCTCCCGGCCACCCCTCCCTGTGGCAGGCCCCATGGGGTGCGGTAAGCACGGTTCCACTCTGTTTCTGAACTCGGGAGGCTGTCACTTCACTGAAGCCTACTGAAGAGCCCCACCGACCCGGGGCTGAGATGGGCCAGTAGGAAAGGAGTGACCAGCGGTGTGCTGATCTCCGTGCCAAGCAAAAGCAAGGAAAAGCATTTGACAAAAAGTAAAATGAAAGTCTAGTACACTTTCTGTTGTGTTAAAAAAGTCATATCACAAAAATGACCGTAATATCTTTACTGTAAAGGAAGGGACTGGCCTGAGGCCTCGCCGTGTGGCCTGCCTTAGGGCATTCACACACGAGCGGGGGTCCGCAGACAGGCGGCTGCCTCAGCTCTACCTGCTGATCTCGTAGAGCACACAGCCAGCGCTCCACAGGTCCATCTTATAAGTGTAGAACCCGTCAGTCAGGAGGCACTCTGGGGCCCGGTACCAGCGGGTGGAGATGTATTCTGTGTATGGCTGCTTGGAATAGACACTCCGGCAGGACCCGAAGTCCCCCAGCTTCAGGACATCCTGCTGCAGGGGGAGAAAAGCAGGGACAGATTCACCTCATCAGGCAACTGCTGTAAAACAAACCATCTCAAGTATTTATGCACTAGCGGGAAAAGGACCAGCATCTAAACTTGCTGGTAAAACACAAATGACAGGCTTCACAAGCACCTGAAAGTGACTCTAACAGATGCGGAAGTAGCGTTTCCAGTCAGTGGAATCCGTTTGTAAATATTCTGGCTATGTTTTACAAATATTTCCAAACGTCTAAAGGTTTTGAGAAATTTTAAGTCACAGTGTGAGTCATGAATGAATTTTACATCACCGTCGTACGCCCTATTATGCCTCAAACTTTCCTGTGTCGGCCACTGGAGGTCGGGGAGAGCAGATTCACGGGGCCAGCTCACACCCACGGCTCTTCAGAGGGGCGCACAGACCAGGCATCCGGGTTGGAGACATTTCTTCAGTGTTCTCTATGCCTCACATTCAGGTAGTAAAATAGAGGCTGGCTATGAATTTGAAGGCTCTGGCACTTACAACTATAGTAAATATCAAGTACGGCACATTTCACAGCCAGGTTATCAAGAAACCTCACTCTGATGGTTATTCACCTCCATCACCATTACCCAACATATCATATTGGACTTCCATCAAAAATCATACGGCATGTTGAAAAGCAAGAGTAAACAGCCTGAAGACACAAAGCGAGCATCAGAACAGATTCAAATATGGCACAGACTTTAGAATTACCAGACAGGGAATTTAAAATGACGATGGTTACTTTGTTAAGTGCTCTAATGGAAAAAGTCAATGACATGCAGGTTCAGGTGGGAAATGTAAGTGGAGAGATGAAAATTCTAAGAAAGACTCAAAAAAGAGAGAAAGAATGGCAAAAACAGACCAGAACACACAAGACCTGTGAGACGACTTCAAAAGCTGCAGCACACATACCACAAAATGGACAGATCTCAGCAGAACGATGCGGAAGAATCCAGACCAAAAAGAGTGTGTGCTATGGGATTCCATTTATATAACATTCTAGAAAACGCAAACTAATTTATGTTGACAGAAAGCCAGGCTTTGCCTAAGAACAAGGAACAGGGAAGGAGGGAAAGAGGAAATTCTGGGGTGATGGATTTGTTCGTTAATTTGATAATGATGGTTTCATGGGTGTACACAAATGCCAAACTTATCAAATTGTATACTTTAAACATGTGTAAGTTTAAGTGGCTCTGGAGTGAGACAGACCTGAGCTCAAATCCTGCCTCTTCAACTTTTGTATTTAGAGTGTTTAGGACGATAAACTGAATGAAGTTTACTTTTGTATATAGCATGAGAAGAGGCCTAAGACTATTTTCTACCAGCTGTAGTTATGTTGATGGCATTTCATTAAATGAACCATTTTTTCCAAACTGGGAAAAGAAACTATAACAAACATGGTACTCAACTATCTGGTGCCGAAAGCATAACCAGTGGCAAGTTTGTGTATTTTACCTTTATTCTGATACCAATTTTTCATATAAAAGTTCTTACCTTTATTAATATATTTTCTGGTTTTACATCTCTGTGAAATATTCCATTTCTGCATTCAATATAAAAGGAAAGATAGAATTAATAGTACCTCATTTGTTAAAATTCTTTTACCTTGCCTTTTTAATGACTGTTACTCTGTTTTATTCATTTGAGAGCCGCCAAGTGCCCCAGAGCATACCTGTGCATATGGTCAAGGGATTTACATAACTGGTACATATAGTGCATGATTTTTTTCCCCGATAATCGCTGTCTTCTCCCTATGCAATCAAGGAAATAGCCAAATATGGTTACCAATGGTACTATGGTACCCTAGTTTTTGAAATAAAAAAATAGAATCTGATTTTATTTAATGATGTGAGAAAATCTAACCTCCTCTGAAAAGTAACCTGAAGTAGTTCTAGGAAATATGGAGCATATTAGACCACTTAAGATCCTACCTACTGGCAGGATGTCATTTAAAATCACACAGCACCAGCTGTCTGACTGCCTTGGGAAAGTGCTGAGTGATGACCATCAGGGGGGCTTGTCTGGTGAACCTGACACAAGCCTCAAAGTGGCCTCGAGGACGTTCTCCTTCCAACCGTTGATTATGAAAAGGGAGGAGTCATTTGAAAATCCAGTGTTTTCCTTGGCTTCCTGTCTAGGTGGATATGTCCATTTTAAAGGGGATGACAGATCACCGTTCAACAGAAGTTCCTTTTTCAATCCAAGAAGACCAATGGCTGCTCTGCGCTTCATGGGTCACTCTCTCCTCTGCTGGAAGGCAGTTCCCCCAGCGCCCAGCCCTACACCCTGTTCTCTGGGATTTCTTTCTTGCAGGATTTTAGGATGTTCTGAAACTCTTAATACTGTACCCCAGCCTCCTAGTTTTCCTTGTTCCAGAAGATGTCACATTTTACTTGATTTTAATTTCAAAAACATGTGTTTTTAAGTATGCTTTAAATCTGAAAAATAACCATTCTCACCTAACAATTCGGAAAACCTATTTCCCCTCCATGTGAATACAAGTATCTCATTTGACATATTTGGCTAAGTTTGCTATTTCTGTTGACAAATAAATTTACTATTTTTCTCACATAACTTAAGAATGTTTATAACAGGTTAATGAAAAGTAATTTGAATTATAAAATATCTAAGTGCAATTAACTTCTTCCTGTAATACTATAATCTTTTTATTTTGTTTCATGTAATTTATCGTCCATTTTCTAGAATTTAAATAAAAAGTATTAAACTAAGTTTTTGTCAGCTTTCCCTAGTTTGAGGAATTCTAGAATTTTATTAAATCCATGTCTATATAAAGGTGAAAAGAAAGGCAAATTTCCATTCTCTGTCACACGTGCAGCACATGAACTTCCTGAAGGTCAGCTGTCATCCTGCAGGGGGTGCTCACTGCCCACTGAATTAGTCTGACCCCTTCCCTTCTATCACAGGGGCTCCCAGGCTCCAGGGAATCCCCTGGCAGCTTGTGAAGACACAGAAGGCCCCCCCATTTGGCCCCCAGGCATTTCTGGTTCAGCAGGTCTGCAGTGGGGCCCCCAAAGTCACCTTTCTAACAAGTTCCCAGGAGTGGCTACCAGGCCTGGGTCCTCACTTTGAGAACCATGCCCTGTCACAGCCCTCATTTATCAAATGCTCCAGCCAAATTCACTGGTGGGTGCCTCCGCATATGCTCCGAAAGCTCTCTTCACACCCTTATTCATGCTGTCCTATTCCTAGAAGCACCCTTCCCAGCCATGTTCCCACATCCATATCTTCCTTACAGCCAGCCTACAGTGGTCATTACAGTCATCTGAACTTGAACTCAGGAAAGGTGGAATCCTTTAGGAAAAGTCTAATCCATCCAGTCTTCATAATCACCTAAGGGTCTTGATTCTAAGGCCCGAACCCAAACCTAATGAATCACAAATCTGGACACACAGGCCAAGAATCTGCATTTCCCAGCTGCCCTATGACCCCAGTGTAAGAGCCCTCTCTTTGGGTGCTGGCCCTTCCTTTCCTCCTTGGCCCCCATTATTTGTAGTCCTGGGAGTAAGGGCATGGCTCTCCCCTCCCCCTCTGCAAGAATCCTCACCCACATGAGGGGGCTGCTGACAGAGCGAGGCGCCCTTAGGAACCATGCAGGACCCCTGGCCTTGGCAGCGGGAGCCTCACCCTTGGCGAGGACAGGGCGGACCGTCCACTCTGCACAAGTTTTTCCAAAACAAGATCCTATCTCTCCAGGCCTGAGACTGTATCTGGGTCCCACCAGATTCTTGTTTTCAAACATCTTGAAAGAAGTAAACATAATACAATGAATAAGCCACTCACAAGTTCCTTGTGTGACCCTTTACTGAATGTCTGCAGACCACAAACAGTATTTCCTTTGTCTCAACCTATTTATCTCAACCAAGTTAATTTTTACAAGTTGGTTTTTACCAAATATCCTCAATAAGATGATTCTAAAGAATTTCACATAAAATACTAGCAATGTAAAAAAGATTTTAAGGGACCACATGATAAACTGTGGCGTTCATCGTCAGCGCTAACTGACGGAATATGGCTGACAGCGTAGCTTGCCCTGTAACAGAATATCCAGCACACAACCCTTCCCACAAGAGAGCTGTCCTCAGGCATGTGCCTGGTTTGCCTGGTGAAGCTTGGAAGTGTATGCTGGTCCACCATGGCACAGCCAAATGGCCCCCACATACACTTGGCCCAGGGGCTGTGCCCTGCAGCCTGCGTGTATGCTGCATATGCACTGTACACTGGGCGGGCACATGCCTGCCACTGGCATTTTCCAAAGGAGAGCCTTGCATCATGGCCCACAGTTCTGAGAGCTTAGAAATCCTGACCTGCAGAAGGTAGCAGGTGGGATGTCAGACTCAGGTGGAGCCCTCTCCCATCAACCATGACAAAACTCAAGGATAACATCCTCTCAGGTGTGCTCTTTGAAGCTGGCTCATCTCAGGCAAGTGCTATAACTTCTTTAAAATTCAATTTCCTCATCTCTAAAAGGGAGTTGAGCACACAGAATTGGGAAGATCAAAGGCAGTAACCGAGCAGCATAAATGGTAAAGTTGTAGTAATAATAATGAGAGCAACCAATATTCACTGAGAACCATGCAACCCAGGCACTGCTGTCAGCACTGTGCATGCTGAGAGTCAGACACTATGGCCACCCCGCGGCACAGACGAGGACAAGACACAGAGAGACTAACCGGGACCCGCCATCATTAAATGTGCATGATGTGGGAGATTTGTGCTATGCCAATACAGCCCAGCTGGGCCCATGCTTCCCAGAAGCACCAGCCTTAAAACTAAAGGATAGAAATGGTAAGGAAGAAGTGAAATCGTCACTATTTGCAGATGACATGATACCTTATATAGACAACCCTAAAGAGTCCACCAAAAAATTATTAGAACCAATAAATGAATTCAGTAAAGTTTCAGGATACAAAATCAGTATAAAGAAATCTGTTGAATTTCTATATACTAATAATGAATAACAGAAAGAGAATTAAGAAAGCAATCCCATTTACACTTGCATCAAAAAAAAATCCTAGGAACAAATTTAACCAAGGAGGTGAAAGACTTGAAAAAATGTAAGAAACTATACTCTGAAAACTATGATACTAATGAAAGAAATTGAAGATGAACAAATAAGTGGAAAGATATTATATTCCATTCTCATGGATTAGAAGAGTTAATATTGTTTAAATGTCTACATTCAGAGCAGATTCAGTGCAATCCCCTTCAAAATACCAATGGCATTTTTCAATGAGATAAAACAAATAATCCTGAAATTTGTATGGAGACCACAAAAGACCCCAGTAGCCAAAGCGATCTTGAAAAAGAAGAGCAAAACTGGAGTCATCACTCTCCTTGATTCCAAACTACCCTACAAGCCACAGTAGTCAAAACAGTTTGGTCTGGCTCAAAGACAGACCACGGATCAGTGGGACAGAACAGAGAGCCCAGAGATAAACCCATGCATATATGGTCAATTAATGTACGACATAGGATGCAAGAACATACAAAGGGGACAAGACAGTCTTTCCAATAAATGGTGTTAGGAAAAATGGACAGCTACTTTTAAAAGAATGAAAATACCACTTTCTTATACTGCACACAGAAGTAAACCCCAAAGGGATTAAAGAGCTAATATAAGACCAGAAACCATAAAACCCCTAAAAGAAAATAGAGGCAGTAAACTCCTGGACAGCAGTGTCAGCCATTTTCTTCTGGATATGTCTCCCCAGGGAAGAGAAATGAAGGTAAAAATAAACAAGTAGGACTACTTCAAACTAAAAAGCTGCTGCACAGTGAAGGAAACCATCAACAAAATAAAAAAGCAACCTAGTGAATGGGAGAACATATTTGCACATGACATATCCAACAAGGGGTTAACATCTAAAATAAATAAAAGAACTCTTACAACTCAACACCAAAAAAGCAAATAATCTTATTAAAAACAGGCAGAGGACCCAAATAGACATTTTTCCAAATTAGACATGCAGATGGCCAACAGGCACATGAAAGATGCTCATTAATCATGACGGAAATGGAAATCAAAACCACAATGAGATGCCACTTCACACCAGTCAGAACAGCTAATATTAAAAAAAAAAAAAGAAAGAAATAACAAGTGTTGATAAGGATGTAGAGAAAAGGGAACCCTTGTGCACTGTTGGTGGGAATGTAAATTGGTGCAGTCACTGTGGAAAACAGTATGGAGGGTCCTCAAAAAACTAAAAATAGAAATACCATACAACCCAGTAATTCCATTTATAGGTATTTACCCAAAGGAAACAAAAACACTAATTTGAAAAGATACATGCACCCCTATGTTTATTGCAGCACTATTTACAGTAACTGAGATACAGGAGTATCTATCAATAGATGAATGGATAAAGAAGATGTGTTATATATATGCAATGGAATATTATTTAGCCATAAAAAAGAATGAAATAGTGCCATCTGTGACAACATAGACAACATAGACCTAGAGCATATTATGCTAAGTGAAATAAGACAGAGAATGACAAATATCATATGATTTCACTTGTATGTGGAATCTAAAAAAAAAACAAAGAAACAAACAAAATAGAAATGGGCTCATAAGATACAAAGAACAAACTGGTGGTTGCCATAGGGAAGGTGGATGGGGGTGTGTATGAAATAGGTGAAGGGAATAAAGAGGTACAAACTTCCAGTTATGAAATAAGTAAGTCACAGGGATGAAAAATAGAACATAGGGAATATAATCATAATACTGTAATAGCCTTCTATGGTGACATAGGGTAACTACACTTATAGTGGTGAATATCCATAGCGTAAAGAATTGGTGAATCACTATATTGGAAGAACACAATATTGTATATCAACTTTACTTCAATAAAAAAAAAATAAGTAAAAAACAAACAGGATGGTGTCATAGGCTTGGAAGAAAATTGCAGTGACAAAAATGTTGCGTCATTCCCACTCTGAATGGCACAGAGACTGACAGTGTAAGGAAAACAAAGACATCAAGGAAACATAGGAATGCGGTAACAGGCTTCACTTCTACCTTCCTTTTTATATATGCACAAGAGTGATATAGGGGAAAATGTCTAAATATATCTAAAAGAAATCATTTAATAAAGACAGAACTAAAACTGCTAACTGCTAAGAAAGCTATGTATCACAGCTGAATTGACAATGTTTTCTTTTTAGTTGGTACATAACAAATGGTGCCTATCATACTTAATGGGTCAGAGTTGATGAAATACAAAAATACAACTGAATTGATCAAAGCCATGTTGGGCAAAATAGTTATCATGTTGCATGGTAATAAGGCACACAGCATAAGCATAAGTCATGGAAATGGACTGTACTGCTATACTTACAGCCAAACCAAGCTTGTTTTGCTTTTGCCTACTTGATTCACTCCCCAATATCATGGATTGATTTCAGGGTGCCTTCCCCACGCACTGCCTCTACAAGGTGTAACAGTAGGTGACAAGGCCAGCCTGCTGAACCTGGAACAGCCGGTGCTCCTGAAGGCAGCCAGCAACTGGCATTTCTGGGCCTGACCCATCTGCCGACAGTGGAGGGCCTCAGGGTCTGAGTCACCAAGTTCACCAAGAGAGGAGGAGGAGGACAGGCAGAGAAGTAGAGGCAGGGAACCGTGTGGCTCAAGGCACTTTCCTGGTTTCTGGCTGGAGGCCTGACTGAGCTTTCTGCAAGAGACCTGTGGTTTTACAAAAACTCCCTCCATTGTATGTGAACAGGCTGTGAATGGCGTGTGCTCCTTGAAATGCAAACAGTCTAAACACAAAGCTCAGTATCTTTCATCATCATCCAGGCAGACAACCGACACCTGTAGCACACAGGGACTAGTGATCGGCACTAAGAAGATCCCAGTGAGGGGCTGACAGGCCCCACTGTCAGAGAGCTGGCATACCGGTGGACAGAGTGGGGAAGACAGTAAAGAACCAGATACATGTCAGGCGTTGTGTGTGAGAGAAACAAACAAGAGAGACGCAACAGAGGCAAGAAGGTGAGGAAGGCGCGACCACTCCCAGGCCCTGGAGCAGGAAGCGGCAAGGGCAGAGGCGCAGCTAACTCTCCGTTCTCGAAAGCAGGGTGACTGAACTTGAAACAGTTAGAAAGGACAGCACATCAGACACAACCCAATGAGGCAGTAGGTGCCTCTATAATCAGGTTATAGTCTTCACAAGTTCTTCCTTGTAAACTCCAAGACAGCCTTTCCTGCAGATGGCATGAGCCCAGAGCCGGAAGCACAGTGCACCCAGATAAACAAATCAGGGCTGCGGATGGTGCAGCCAGTTCTCTGGTCACTCACTCACTCTGACGAAGAACTCCGTGAACACTCTTCTGAAGTGAGTAGCTAGAAAAGTACCTTTACCGTGTGTCACTGGTCTCCCCACCACCATCTGCAGCCCTATGGCACACATAGCAGACCTCTTCCAACCCCAACTCCCATTTCATGACTTGAAAGCCCAAAATGACATTCTTCAGGTTGCCTTGCAGCTGGGGGTTCCAGATGGAATTCAGGTTCTGCCTAAATCAGGCCACTTGAGAAACAGGATTCAGGCCCAAGTTACAGCAGCAGGTGAGAGGAGGGAAAACCACCCATTCTGAGTGTGCAGATCACAGTGCAGCCAGCGTGCTGACCCTGGCGGAGGTGGCCTGTTCTGGAGCTGGTGGCTGCAGCAGCAGGAACAGCGCCCAGTCCCACTCTCCCAGCTGGGCCTGAACTACAGCCCACGATCATCTCTGCGTCATCTTACACCTACTGGGCAAAGGGAAAATTACCCTGAGCAACTTATTTTCTCGAATGATTTCACTTTCCTGCAATTTATCTCTACCATAAAGAGTGTAGTAGAATGTCAAAAAATGCCTCTCCTAAGCTCCCTCTCCACCTTTACCAGACCTCGCACACTGCTGTGCGTACAGGCAACTCGGTAAGCCTGCAGGGTCACTCTCTCATGTCATAACTGGGTCTTCCATTTTTAAAAGTGCTCCTCAATATTCTAATAATCCAAGAGGGTAGTAATTCAAGTGAAATGAATTGTTATTCTATTAGGAAAAGCTTCAGTGATTGACTTGGTTTTCAATAAGTCAGTATCATCACCGACAAGAGCAGATCGTCAGTTAGTGCCCATTCACTGAAGGGACAGAGCTGCGGCTGTAATTCATCACTTCTAAGGCAAACTTCTTTCTGCAATTCACATTGTAACACTCTGAGATCATGACGTATAGCCCAATATTTAGTATCTTACAATCACCATCAGCCATTTTCCCCAAGTTTTAACTGAAACTAGAATGTGCTAGTGACAGCATCTTAGACTCCGTGCACTGAGCAGGGCACCTGGCCGAAGGACCCAATGTCTACGTGATGAATGAATGTCCACTGATCTATAATGATCTGTTTTCTACAATTTCTTTCTGTAGACAAATTAAAAGAAATGGTTTCAATTTTTCTAGTTATACAATCCCCCTACTACTGCAAATTAAAGATACTTATTTCTAAACAAAGATTTCTCAAATGTCTGAACACAAAGAAACTTGCTGAAAATTATCCCCTCCTCCTGAGTGTTGAAATACCACACTCTAGGAAGCAATGATCAGAATTCTAACATAAGACACCTATCATACATCAAGAGAATTGCTACTAAACAAAGGAAGTGATTATGTAGGTTCATTAAAAAGAAAAATGTTGGCTCACTGGTAAAAAGATTATTGTAAATTAACTAATAAAGTTTGGTGGTTTTTTTATCTTGGTTGTACTTGATACCCTATCCTGACACTCTGTTAAATACATGTGATCTATAAAACATAACCTTCCTCAGTTGCTTTCCCAGTAATATTTCCAAGGCTCATTTGTCCCACCTCTAACACACTGTGAGGTCAGCCCCCCAGGGATATTTGTAAAATGTGGGGCAACCATCTGCCTCCTCCTCATCTCTATTTCTCTTAGGTGACCTCTGAAAGCCTCCAAAAACAGCCCAGACTGAGGTTGGCTCAGGCACAGGTGCTTTCCCAAACGGTGCTTGACTGTGCAAAACAAGGAAATGAATGAGCACCCTGTAATACAGGAGACTTTGTAAGGATCCAAATATAGAAGGTCATCTGTCATCTGAAGGATTTATATTTGGGGGAATGATGCATAGAATAGAAGGCTGGGCAACAGCAGTGCCAGAAGCGTGATTCTCAGAACGGGACCGGCCTGGGGGCACAGCACCCCCAACAGAGATCCATGGTATCAAAGACCTGAGCTGGCTCCATGTCCACTGTACCATCCTCACCCACATCAGCTGGCCAGCTGCAAGGACTTGTGGCTTTACTTCTCATTTGCAGCCATGCTCTGGGTAGACTAGTTTGCCAGAAAAAACCTCCCAAGATTGAAGTGGTCCAGTACTATATATTCATATATAACTACTGCACTATGGTGACTAATGGTTTCGAGAAATAAAACTACAAGCTTTAAAAGAAGATCTTAGAATAGCTTGCAAATTATTCTACATACCTTGTATTAGCTCATAAATATTCATGTCCATAAGTTCACATATTAGTGCAAGAGAACCAGATTTTCTGTCACTGGAGAAGAAAGAAGGTTTTTAAAATATTTTTCTCATCTTAATCAGAAAGTATAATAAAAAAATTAATTCATTTGTAAACATTTCTGGTAAACATAAAGCTCCCCCATGTTAGACAAAGACCCATGTGTAATGACTGAAACAGAACTTTTGGGTTTTAATCAATATTTCAAGTAAAATTAATTAAAAATAATAAAACCCTACTCCAAGTAAAAATTCTAAAAGCTGCCCCCCCTTTTCAGAGCTGTACCTTAAAAATATAAAAATAACCATCAGCAGAAAGAAGAAATGAGGGTAAGGAGTCAGCTAAGCAAAACAATCAAAGCAAAAATAATTTAATTCATACTCTGTGACTGTAAATTTAGTTTTGATTTACTTAAACTTCTTCCATGTAATGGGATAAACTACAATGCCAGGGAGCAAAATCCAAACACCAGGCAAGGGAAAAGGGACACAGGCTCACGCCACGCTAGCACGTGCACAAAGCAGGGACAGAGGCCTCTGGCCAAGCCACCAGCTTCTCCTGAGTTCCAACAGCCCTTAAGGGACCCCTGAGCTGGGCTGGGGACAATATATATATATATAACCCCAGACCCTGCCTGGTGTGCCTCAGGTGGGTCTGGAAAGGGTCTTTACGGTCTCTTGGGGCTCTTAGGAAGCCCAGGTGTGATCCCGGACAGAAGTGCTTCGTAAAGCACACGTACGGCGGCTCGGTGACTGCATGCAGTCGACACGCTCTGGGCCTGGCCGGAACCGACAGCTCAGAGTACTGCAGGCCAGGAGGCCATGTGGTTGCGCACAGCGTTTTATTCTGACTTTAAAACTACTCAATGCTCTGATTAAAATCTGCTGCACTTTAATTGTCAGACTGTTGTTTCTTGGCTGGCTCTGAAGGCCTAGAGGGAGCAGCAGAGCGCTTCCCACACGGGGCACCCCTCAGCTCAGTGCCGCCCCAGCCCACGCAAAGGCAGGGCCTGAGCCGTGGCTGAGCACCTGGCTCAGCGTCAGAAGTGCGGGGCAGAGCTGCCAGCACGCGCGGGCGAGCTGTGCGCTGCTTCCTGATCAGTAAGTAAGCCTTATAGAAACTCTCCCGTACTGAAAATGAAAATCCCCTGAAATCTTATCAGTTATAGTCAGAAAGGCTACATGGGCTTGTGCAGACGGCAAGCTGCAAGGACAAAGCACACACTTCCTTGAACTATGGCAACAGGGCTTTCCACCAGATCATAATTCCCACCCGTGGCCTCCGAGGCCCAGCCACCTCCATACAGAAGCGTGACTAAGCTACAGGGAGGGCCCTCTTGAATCATGTGTACTTGTATGCTACGGAGTCATCTACATGAAGGCATTTCCACATTAGGAATCAGATACACATTTGTCCAAATAAATATGTAACTTAAGATAAAATGAAAACTGCTCTCTGAGCAAATATTTTACATAACTACCATGGTTTTCTTTCTTAAAAAGAGATTTAATCATTATCATCAAATTTAAGTGCTTTTTAAAGCTCTAAATATACTTACAAAACCACTTCATGCAATGTGAGGATGTTTGGGTGTGGATTCAGGCGCCTCAGTGCTTGTACCTCCCGTAGGTTGTTCACTTGCTCAATACTACCATGCAGGTAAAGATAAACAACTAATGTATAATTTAAGTCAACTTTAAACTTCAGGTTATTAAATCTTTATTATCTATGATCACAACTGAGAAAGTCACAAACACTTCAAGCAAGTTAACAAGTTTTATTTCTCCCATTAGCAGTTTAATGTAAGCATATTTCATTTCTGGATCATCCTATAAAAATCCAGTTTCTTATTGCTTTGGACATATATTCACATTTTTCCCACCTAAGCTCTTGAAAAAATACCTTGGTAGTTTCTTTCACAATTAATAAACACAGAAACAGATACAAAAATTTCCTATTAATTTATGGGAACTAGCCTACTAAATGCCACATGAAAATAAGCATTTCAAATTTCTATGAAGAGATCCACCCTTACTTCTTACCTTTAATGAAAGCTGTACTTTTTTTCAATTTCATTCACCTGATGAGTGGTGTCCTCGGCAGGCTTTATGAAAGCTGCTCTGCCTGACACTGTATTCACATTCAAAACCATGCCACTACAAATGTAACACAAGCTGACAGCCTGAGGCTGGTTGTCACCACCCTCTAGACAGACCCCTTTTCAGGAGACGCCCCTGCCTATGGATGGGCCCGAGGGCTCATACTCAGTCGAATGACCCAACCAACAGCGACTTCCATCTTAAATGCTCTAAAAGAAACCAGTTGTGGAAATATTCTTTCTTTGAACTGGCAAAACCATTCTGCCAACTTCTAACTTAAAGTGTAAAGCTCTACATTTTGTTTGGTTATTCAAAGAGTAATTATAGTTATATCCAATAGTATATTATTATTATCCTAAGTCAATATGGCTGAATATTTTCAGTCTCTCTCCTGTTCTAGCCAACAAATGGGGGACCTGATATATAAGAAGAGCCTGAATAGTCTGGGTATAAAGATAATTCTGACTAAAAGTTTTAGACCCCTTTTTCATTACTCTCCTTTATCACCTCTCTCACACCCAGGATGGAGTTCAAAGTGTTAGCTGTTTATGTGCCACGGCCACCAACCAACCAGAAATGAAGAGCCCATAATGCTGGAACAGGGTCCGAAGTGGGGGGCGGAGCAGGGGAGGGTTTTCGGAACCAGGCACAGACTCTGTAGCTGCTGGAAAGAGGGGAAGTCTGGGGCCAGGGGCCAGGGGCCAGGGGCAGGGCAGGGGTGGAAGGGCAGCACTTAAGAAGTTCAAGGATGGCAGCTATTTACCACCAGAATATGAGTCTTTCACTACTTTAATAACCATCTCAACAGCCATACTGGTGTGTAAAGAAACTGATCGTGACTTTCTCCATTCATTACATGAGCCTGGTACCCACCCTACCGCCTGTTCCTCAGCAGCACCCTGGCCCGCAGAACCAGCGCCTGTCCTAAATGCCTCTAGAGCGGTGCTTCCCAAAGTGTGTTCCATAGAATGTTATTTCCCTAGAGAATGCTTTGAAGATATTTCATGAGTTTGAGACAGGCCCACTCTAGTTCCTTTTGGAGAGTCACAATTTATAGTTGATACTAAAGCTTTCAAAACCCTACAAAATTAATACAACAGTTTACCTTGATTTAAACCAACATTTCCCAAACTTTTTGTCCCCAGGACCCATTCTTACAAACTATCTAGTCACCATCCCTTAAAACTAGGGCTCCAGAGAATGCACCAACTCCAAACCATCCTTTGAATGACATGATAGAAATAGTATTTTTCCTTAGAGCAGGGGAGATGATAAAGACACAAATAAGGCAAAAGGAAGGAAAAAACATCAAGTGAAACATTCTTTGGGGAGCACGTAAGCAACCGATTGAAGAGAACCTTTCCATCCCCTTCTCGGGGGCTGCTTTGGAAGAGGCCACCAAGGCTCTTCTCAGCCCCATATCTTGAGGGGGTGCCTGATTCAGGAAGAGGCCCCTGAAGACCCCCACCTCTGCCTGGTGTCATGCATCTGCCTATATATAGCATGCCATGAGTCAGTAGCTCTCAACTGGGGACCTTGCCCCCAGAAGACATTTGACAATATCTGGGGACATTTTTAGGTGCTGCACTTTGGAGAGGGAATGATAATGGCATTCAGTGGTAGCAGCCGGTGATGATGCTAAATACCTTTGCTAAACACCTTATATTGCAGAGCCCAACAAACACTAAGCCAGGCCCAAAAGTCCATAGTGCCAAGGCTGAGATACCCTGCTTTAGGTGGAAACAGCAAGAAACAAATTGGGGCCAGCAATAATTCTAGCACCCTATTTGAAATTTAATTCTTGAACACCCTGAAAAAAATTAGTTCTTAAAACTAGGTAGTCAGCCATGTCATTTAGACAAATATCAACTCTTCTCATCTTTAATATGAAAACTAATTATCTTACCCTGAAACACATTTTACTTATTGCACACAGAATCCTTCACAGGCATTAACCAGTACATTTCGAAAGGCACATTTCTCTAGGTATTGCTTGTCTTTGTTCAAATATCAGTGCTTAATAACATCCACATCAACTCTGTTCTCTCTTAAAAATCATGAAAAAAAAATTTAAGATCTAGAAATAACCACTTTCCTTTGCCTTGAAGTTGTTTGAATTTTGTGATCAGGGGACATTCAGTTTGTTTTTCATTCTGTTAGAAATAGAAAATATCATGGAATTGAGCATAGAGGAATGCAGGCAGTCCCTGCTTCAAAAAGAACCAGATGATATCTGTATCTACCAAAAATGAATTTTTTTCTACAATTGGAAATAATTATAATTTTAGCAGGTCTAAGTCTTTAAAAAATAAAAATGGTTATTTATGAAATTTCAACATTTTGTTTCATCAAAAGTATTTTATGGGAAGTAAGATTACCTAACCAATCCAATCTGTAGGAATGAAGTCCTCAAGGTGAAGGGGACAAAGAAGTGGCTATATTAATACTAGACAAAACCAATTTCAAAATAAGGATTATTACTATTTATGATTTCATGAGGATAAAAAGGCCCAATACATCAGGAAGACATGGCAATTATTAAGTGTGTATGTGCTAAATAACAAAGCCTCAGTACACATGAAGTTAAAAACTGACAGCACTAAAAGAAGAAAGTGTTAGAGGTCTTCACACTGCTCAACCATAATTGGTAGAGCAATTATTCAAAAAATCAGTCAAGATACAGATTGTAACAGTAGTATTAACTACCTTGACCTAACTGACAGTGTATTCAACACCTACAGATAAAATATGCTTTTCAAGTAGATATAGAACACTCACTCTGATAAACAATGTGCTGGACCCAAAGATAAGTTTCAGTAAATTTAAAAATATTAAATATTTATAGAACATGTTCTCTGACCACAATGGATTTAAATTAGAAATCAGTAATAGTAATAAGCTACCTAGAAAGGCCCAAATGTTTGCAAATTAAGTAACATACTTGTAAATAATTCATGGGTAAAGAAGAAATTACAAGAAAAATCAGAAAACATTTCAAACCAAGCAGTAAGAAAGCACATCATATCAAAATTTATAAAATGCAGGTCCAACAGTGCTTAGAAGGATATTTATGGCTTTAAATGCTCATGTTACAAAGGAAGAAATGGTTTAAGTCAATTATCTAAGTTTTCATCTTAAGACAGAAAATAAGAGTAAGTTAAATACAAAGTAAAAGAAAAGCAATAATAAAGAACAGAAAAGGTGAAATGAATAAAGAAAAAAGAAAACAGAAATCAATGAACTAGAAAATAATAAGAGAAAATCAATAAAGCCCAAAGTTGATTCTTTAAAAAAATAATAAAACTGATAAACCCATGAAAGACTAATGGAGGAAAAATGACATAAAACCCTAATGCCATCAACCTATAACAGGAATGAAAAGTAGATATTAAAAAGCAAAAAGGAAATATTATGAACAACTGCATGTCAATAAATATGACAATTAAGATTAAATGGACAAATTACTTTTAATCTAAAAACATTTAACAAAAAAACATAATTATTATATGTTTTGCTGTTTTCTTCTTCCTTGGATACCTTGTATTGGAAGATCTGTTCACTTCCATGGCCTGAGAGACCATTTCCTTCCCCAGATTTGGGGAAGTTTTCAGCAATTATTTTCTCAAAGACACTTTCTATCCCTTTTTCTCTCTCTTCTTCTTTTGGTACCCCTATAATGTGAATATTATTCCGTTTGGATTGGTCACACAGTTCTCATTATTCTTCATTCCTAGAGACCCTTTTTTTCTCTCTGTGCCTCAGCTTCTTTATATTACTGTTCTCTAATTTCATTTACCGTCTCCTCTACCTTATCTAATCTGCTTTTAAATCCCTCCGTTATATGTTTCATTTCAGATACTGTAGTTTTAAAAGTTTCTATCTTTCTTGAAGTCCTCCCTGAGATCTTGAATATTTTTCTGTAGCTCCACAAGCATGTTTATAATTTTTATTTTGAAATCTTTATCAAGAAGATTGGTGATTTCAGTTTCACTTAGCCCTCTTTCTGGTGTTTGAGGGTCTTTGGTTTGTACAAGACTGTTTTGCCTTTTCATATTTCTGATAAATAATATGAAATAATAACTTTTTGTAGGCAGCACCCTCTAGCACCCAGAAGTTCTACTCTCTGGAGCTACTCAGCACCTGGAGCAATGGCAGGGATTGCAGGTGAGCGGCACTGGTGCCTGTCGGAAGGGGAGTGCTCTTTCCTGCTTCCAAGCTGCAGTTCCTGCCTCCATGGCCAGGGCCAGTGGCCTGAGCATGCAGGGAGTACCCTCTGCTTTATGCCCTTATAGCTGCTATAGGTGGGGCCACCCTCCAGCTGGCCTGGCACAATAGTGGGTACAGCAGGTTTCTGAACTGGTGCTGGTGTGGAGGAAGGAGCGGCAGGCTGTGTATTGCAGTGGGGGGCCTCAGGGCTTCACTGTCAGCCAGGGAGATGGAGGTATGAAGCTCCTGAAAGTTTCCAACCTACTGGGCTGAGTGTGCTGGGATGATTTGTCCACCTGTCTTTTCTCCTGAGCAGCAATCTCTCTGTAATCCTTGCCACTTT